TCTGTGTAGCTTTGCGCCTTTCCTGGAACTCACTTGGTAGCCCAGGCTGGCCTTGAACTCACAGAGATCCGCCTGGCTCTGCCTCCCAAGTGCTGAGATTAAAGGCGTGTGCCACCACTGCCCGGCTTCCCTAGCTCATTTTTAAAACCTAGTTGTTTTATTTTTTAATTTTTATTTAAAAATTTTTATATGGTATATTTTGATCATATCCTTTCCCTTCCCCCAGCTCCTCTCCAATCTTCTCTACCTCTAGTTCTGTTAAAGTTCTTCCTATATTCTATACACTATATATAATGTATGTATGTATGTATGTATACATATGTATATATCACATCATTATTATACCAATCCTGATCATATACAAAAAGGATCTTATGTTCTACTATAGAGATGTTTGCACATCTTTATGACTGGCAAAGATTTTTCTCCCATTCTGTGTGCTACCCCTTCACTTGATTGGTAGTTTCTTTTGCTATACAAAAGGTTTTTATTACATGAGATCTCATTTATTGATTGTCTTATTTCATGCACTGTGAGAGTATTATTCAGAAAATCTTACCTATGCTCATATGTAAAGGATGCTCCCCACTTTTTCCTCTAGCAGTTTCAGGGTACTGTGTCTTATGTTGAGGTCCTTGGTCCATTTGAATGCAGGTCTTGTGCAATTGAGAGATTTGGATCTATTTAATAGTTCTATATGTTGATACCCAAGTTTCACAGAACCATTTGGTAAAGAGATTGTCTTGTTCTCAGCAGACTTTCTCCAGTACATAGCTTTGGAATTTATCAAAATCCAGGTAACTGAGTTGTGTGGATTTCAATTTATGTCCTCTATTCTATGTCACTGATCTATATGTCTTTTTGTGCTAGTACCTTGTCATTTTTATTACTGTGGCTCTGTAGAAAGCTTGAAATCAGGTATGAAGAACCTCATGTAGTGTGCTCTCAGTTCAGGATTGCCTTTGCTATCCTTGATCTTTTGACATTCCTTTTTTAATTTCATGCATGTGTGCACTATATCTTGGTCATATCTATCCCAACTACCTCCCTCCAATTCCTCCCGCACCTCAACACATCCCCTTCCTAAATTCAGTACCTTAAAAGAACCCACTAAACCCAGTAAGTGTTAACAATATGCACAGGGGTATGAGATAATCCATTGGTACATGGGCAACCTACCAATGGCTACCTCCAAAGGAAAAATGACTCTCCCTCAGTAGCCATCAACTCTCCAGCTAGGAATGAGGCACTGGGACCCCATGTGCTTTCCTTTCCATGACACAGTCTTAACTGGGTTGATCTTGTGCAGATCTCATCCATGGAGCCACAGCTGCTGTGAGTTCATGTGTGAAACAGCTGTGTTGTTTTTGTCTTTTGTCCACAGATTTAATTTTTCTATATCCATGGAGAATAGCCCTGGAATTTTATTGGGGTTACATTGAATCCATAGCTTGCTCTTCATGGGGTGGCCGTTATTACAATATCAACTCTTTTGATCGATGAGCATGGAAGGTTTTTACATCTTCCATTGTCTTCTTCAATTGTTTTCTTCAGTGTCATAGTATTTTCATAGTAGTGTTTAGTGTTCTTCCTCTCTTCTTTTTTTAAGTTATTAATTATTATTATTATTATTATTCATTAGCTTTATTCCTAGAAACTCATAGACATTTTTGTGCTCCTGTGATTGGGATCATTTCCTTGTATTTTAAAAAATTGTGTTTGTCATTATGCCTAGGATGGCTACTTTTTATTGGTTTTGCATCCTGCTACTTTATTGAAAATGTTTATAGGCTCTAACAGTGTTTCTAAACCTTTCCCATGCTGTCACTCTTTAGTACAGTTCCTCCTGCTGTGGGAACCCCAACCATAAAATTATTTTCATTGATACTTTATAACCATAATTTTGCTACTGCTATAAACCATAATATAAATGTTTTTAGAGACAGAGATTTGTTGAAGAGGTCATGACCCACAGGTTGAGAACCACTGCTCTGTGAGCTTTAGTGGACTCTTTGGGAGTCTTATGTATAGAATTATATCAAACAGTGGAATTTTGACTTATTTTCCTAATTTGTATCTCTTTTATCCCTTCTCTTTTAGAAATAGTTAATATTGGCTGGGCGGTGGTGGCACATGCCTTTAATCCCAGCACTTGGGAGGCAGAGGCAGATGGATCTTTGTGAGTTCGAGGCCAGCCTGGTCTACAGAGTGAGATCCAGGAAAGGCACAAAGCTACACAGAGAAACCCTGTCTTGAAAAAAAAAACAAAAAAAAAAGAAAAGAAAAAAGAAAGAAAGAAAGAAAGAAAGAAAGAAAGAAAGAAAGAAAGAAAGAAAGAAAAAGAAATAGTTAATATTTATTAATTCTGTAAGAATTTCATGCAATGTACTGTGGACATATGCACTCCTCTCCACTCCTCTTTGTACCACCCCCTCAAACCTCCCACCTCATTCCATCCAACTTTGAGCTTACATCTTTTTCTTCTTTCCTCACTGAATCATGTTTGTGTTACTCAGATAGTCCTGAGAGTGGGGCTTTGGAGTATAGTAGCTTACCAGCAGTCACGTTCCAAAACAAACAAGCCAAACTCTCCCTCACCTAGAAGCCATCAGATGTTAATAGCAACTCAGCTAGTGGTGAGATTACATACCCCCTCCCCAACTCCATGCTATAGTGGGTAGCTGTTTCAGCTTTGACCTTGAAGCACTGCCCCTAGTGAGGCCATGGGTAACTGCTGCACCTGCCTATGACCTGCCCCTGGGGTGTGGCCGAGATGGGAACCCCTTAAGACCCAAGATGCATACTTGCCTGCTCTCTTGGCTACCTCGTGATCCTGGATGCCGGGTTGCAGACTAAGTCAGAGTTCTCCAGAGAACCATGTTGGACTGTACCTCACCTCTTCTGGATCCTGTAACCAATCCCTTTGCTGATTGTAAGTTGCACCAAAATAAACCTCTTTGAATATAAGATAAACTATATGGAATTGCCTCATTAGTTGCTGCTTTACCGTGCTTTTGTCTGGCTGGAGCTTTCGGCTCCCATGGGCCTTGTGGGAGCTATCATAACTCCTATGAGTTTGTGTGTGCTTCTGCCTTCTAGTGCCTGGAAAACATTCTTCTTGAAAGTCATTCACTACCTCTAGCTCTTGGACCCTGTTCTTCAAAGACTCCTGAGCTTTGGGGTGAGATATGAATGCCTGATTAGGACCTGATTTAGGATATAAAGACACTATAGTCTTTAGTTCACTGCATGTCAACCAGTTGAGGATCTCTGTGCTACTTGCCATCTACCACAAGGAGTTGTTTCTTATTATTCTAGCTAAGACTTCAAACATGATATTGAATAGCTGTGTGTTAAGAGGAACATCCTTGTCTTGTTTATGGTATGTGTGTGTGTGTGTGTGGGGACTGAGGTTTTTCTTTTTTTAGCAAGCTGTTGACTATGTCTAGCCTTTATTTTGTGAGATATGCTCCCTCTGTGCCCTGACTCTCCATGACCTTTTTCATGAAGAGATGTTGGATTTTTATCACAAGCTTCTTTTGTGTCTATTGATATGATTGTGTGTTTTCCCTCTTTGAGTCTATTTATATGGTAAGTTACATTTTTAATTTATGTTGAACTAGCCTTGCATCTCTGGAACGAAGTCAACTTGATCATGATAAATGATCTTTTTAGTGTGATCCTAACTTCAGTTTGTGTTTTATTGAGAATTTTTTATGTCTCTATTCATGAGGGAGATCAGTCTGTAACATCTCTTTGTTTCTTTGGTCATGTCTTTACCTGGTTTAAATGTCAGAGTAATATGAGCTTCATAAAAAGAATTTGGAAGCATTCCTTCCTTTCTTGTTTAATAAATGAGCTCAGTAGTATTATTTAGGTCTTCACTGGTGGTCTGGTAAAATCCTATAATGAATCACTGTGGTCCTTTTTTAGATGGTAAACATTTTATTATTGGTTCGATTTCATTTTTTTTATATATTTATCTGTTTAACTGTTTATTTAACTTGTTTAATTTATTAGATCCTTGGTAGATATTCATTAGAAATTTATCCATTTGTCTTACATTTCCCAAGTTGGTGGACAATGGACTTTTAAGGTATATCCTTATGATTTTTTAATTATATTGGCATCTGTTGAAATCTCTCCCTTTGCACCTTTGATTTTCTTAATTTAAGCCTTCTCTCCTTTCTTTAGTTAATTATGCTAAGGGTTTGTGTGAAGGCTAGTTTTATGTCAACTTGACAAGATCTAGAGTCATAGTGTTTCATCACATCAATGATAACCCAAACTAAGGCAGAAGTTGGTACTAGGATAGTGGAGTACCGCTGTGACAGACTTGATCATGTTATTTGGGGGAGGACTGTGGTAGAATTTTGGAACTTTGGGTGAGAAGAGTCATTGAATGTTCAAAGCTTGGTGGGCTGTTCTGTGGGAGCTTGGAAGTAAAGAATGTTGAGACAAATGTGAACAGTGGAGATCTGGCTTGTGAAGCCCCAGAGGGAAGTTTGAGAGTGCCTTAAGATTCAGGGCCCTTTGCTGTTTTGCATTGAGAATCTGTGGTTCTGGTTAGCTGGGGCTAAAGAGTCAGCTGTGATTAACAGTGGACCAGAAACTGAAATAAAACCTTTGCTTTCCTGAGACATTTGATGCTGGTTAGCTGGCACTAAGAAATTAGTGGTGATTAAGAAGAGATCAGCATCGTTAAGATGAAATATTATGGCAAGTGTTTCCTCACTCAGCACCCAGAAGCTGTGTTCCAGGGGTGGCCAAGGTTGTACTTTGAGCTGACAGTTAAACTTGGGTAGTGTTAAAGTCACCCAGGTGGTACTAGTTTTAAAGACATGAAGGGGTCATGGTGAGCAGCTGAAGCTTGGCACTTTGAGTGGCCAGAAAAGGCAGTTGATGAAGGTGCAGCCTCAGTAGCAGTTGAAGACCCAGGACTGAAGGGGTCACGCAGAGAAGCTGAGGCTTGGCACCATGAAGAGAGCCCAGGAGAGGCTATTGGTGAAAGTGCAGCTTGAGTTCCTGTCCTGACTTCTTCAATGATGAATAGAGATTTGGAAGTGTAAGCCAAATAAACCTTTCCTTCCCAGTTTGCTTTGGTCATGATGTTTCATCACAGGAATGATAATCCTGACTAAGATAGTTTGCCAATATTGTTTATTTCACCACATAATCAACTTTTCATTTTATCTACTGTTTTCTGCTCCTATTACATTCATTTCTGCCTTGTGTTAATTATTTCTCTGTCTACTGCTTTTTAAATTTTTTATTTTAATTAAAATACAATTGTATCGTTCTGTAGTTTCTACCATGTTGTGTGGGACTCTGACCACTTGGACACTCAACTGTCAATCAGCTCTAGCCCCTAGTCTCTGTCTGCCACATGTTCTGGACTACTTTTTATTGATTAAATTTATTCCTTTATTTTACATCCCCACCGCAGTTTTCCCCTCCCTCCTGTCCTCCCATTCTGTTCCCCCACTTCCTCCAGCCCCCCTCCCAATCCATTCCTCCTCTGTTTCTGTTCAGAAATGGCCAGGCCTCCCATGGATGTCAACAAAGCACGGCATATCAAGTTGAGGTAGGCCTAAGCTCCTCGTTAGTCCATGGCAGTTGACAATAAGTAGTGTTGTTGGTTGTTTTTGCTCTTTTGTGGGGCCTACCACCTAGCTCCCAAATAAGTCACACATGGAGGCTTATTCTTACTTATAAGTACCCAGCCTTAGCTTGGCTTATTTCTTGCCAGCTTTCCTTAACTTAAATTATCCCAACTATCTTTGATCTCTGGGCTTTTCCCATTCTCTTATTTCTGTAAATCTTAGACTTACTCTGTGGCTTGCTGGTTGTGTAGCTTGGTGGCTGTCCCCTGATGTCCTTCTTCTTCTCTGGCCACTGCTTCTTCTTCCCCAGATTTCTCCTTCTATATATCCTCTCTGCCTGGAGCCCTGCCTATCCTTTCTCCTGCCTTGCCATTGGCTGTTCAGTTCTTTATTAGACCATCAGGTGTTTTAGACAGGCAAAGTAACACAGCTTCACAGAGTTAAACAAATGCAATGTAAACAAAAGTAACACACCTTAAAATAATATTCTACAACAAAGCAGAGCATCCTTAAGAGAAGAAAACAAAATATTCTTAGAAGGAAACACTGATCACTTAATTTCGTCTAGCATCTCCTGCTGTATTTGCTAGAACCCAGTTTCTTGAACTTTGGGTTTGATTCAAAAGTTCAGAGTTCTATGTCTCATCAAACACATCCTGAATCAAATCATTGGTGGTTTGGATATTTGTGGGCAGATGGGAAACACTTAGGTATAAGCATGTGTGTAGGTTCCGGTGTGATTTGCACAGACTTAAGGGTGAGAACATCTCTCTTAAGATAATCAGCTCAATGACTTTGCACACACTGTTGGACCCAATCATTGCAAAAGAAGGCACCATGGTGACTTCCTGGGACTGTCCTAAATCCATGTTTGTTGCCTTCTTACTTAGGAAGGGTAGCATTTAAGAGGCCGCATCTGAGAAGCTTCTCTTGTCTACTTCCTTAGATATTTTATATTTATAGCTCCCAGCATGGCTCAATGCAGGCACCAGCTCTCATCATTTTAATGTTCTTTTTTCCCAGACTCCATGCCCACTGATAATATTTCTTCTGTTCCAAACTATTTAATATATTAATGCAGCCCTGGAGTCCATACAGCAACAATTGTTTGCAATACCCTGGAACAAACACACACATACACACACATGGGATGGGGGGGGGGGAGATTCACAAATGAATATCACCAGCTACTCTATCAGAGATAAGAGGTGTGATCCTTCCTACTCCTGCTCCTATCAGAGAGCCTGGTGTTCATAAATGCTAATAAAAAAAGAGATGCAATCATTGTCTCGTCCACACTCCCCATTGTGCTTGCTGGGGCACCTGCCCCTAGCTTGTCAATCATTTCAGGAGCAGTCCTGTCGTCCTGCTCCGTGTTCCAGCCTTCAGCTTCGCTTCTGTACCTGCTGATCTGCATGCCTTCTCTGCTAAGCATGGATCTCTGCATCGTTAATCTCTGTTCTGAAGCTCTCCTTAAAGTGAGAGTGAGATGGAAGGAGAGAGAGAGAGAGAGAGAGAGAGAGAGAGAGAGAGAGAGAGAGAGAGAGAGAAAGAGAGAGAGAGAGAATGTGAACATGAGCCCCCGTGTTGTCTCTGTTTGGCTCCCTGGTTCATTTCTTTTCCTTCCCACATTGGCAGTCTTGGTCTTTCACTGTGTCTCCCTCAGCAGTCAGCAGTCATTATTTCTCAGGTTACTCCATGTTGGACTCACACAAGCTATGGAGTTTAGAGGAGGTCACTTTATCTTATACTGGATCTAAGCACAGACCTTACAAATAGGTACAAGTCATGCCAAGCCTTTGATACTCTATGGCATTTAGGAAGCTGCATGGAACCGGCAAGATGATAGACAGGTCTCTCTCCCCTGTAGCTGGAGGAGCTACGCTGATTTACTTAACAATCTCCTGGGATTTGCTAGAATCTGCAAATCCACATCTTCGTTCCTACAATGTGGAGAGCATTTTGCATAGAGAGCCTTTATTCTTGTGCCTCATTAGGTTGTACAATAGCTAACAGATTGCACATACCAGCTTCCCCCTCCCTACTCCATGGCCTAATAATATAAGGGCAAGCAGTAAGAGGTCTGGCTCCCACTGGCTTTACAAGGCTTGAGAAAGAGCAATGTTATAAGCCAGAAGGATGTGAGCAGGTTTCACTCTGTGCACAGATGAAATTTTAAAATGGGTAAATCTCTTTTTTGTGTGTAGCTTTCCAAAAGGAGAGACAAAAGGCACATGCACAGTAATGTGTCTTTTGAGTATGTGTATGTGAAAACAGACAAAGAACTGTAAGACTATAGTTCTCTCTTTTGACAGACTAAAGATGGCAGCCTTGGTCTGGTGTCATAAAGCTACAGTGCTTTCCTCTAACTTCCTTTGGTCCCTACCACACACTGGGGTCTCACATCAATTATGGGATATGGATCAGTTTTGGAGGCATCCTAAACAATACTTCAGCAGCTTGAATGTGGTCAATAACACATCTTACTAAGTTTTAACCAAAGACATTAAACAGGACTTTGAAAAAGACCTCCTAACATTCAGGACACCATTGCTTCTGAAGTCAATTTCTTCCCTCAGTTATTTCCTGGCATGGAGTTTCAATGTTTCCTAAAAATAGCACTCTGAATAGATAGATCTCATGGCCCCAGTGAGGTTTTAGCCAGGACTGGATGAGTTATGCTCTTTATAATTAGATATATTCATTTATTTCTAGTGGCAGTGAATAATATTTTGAGCTTAATTGTTACTGTTTCTCAGTTGGTTTATAATTCTCCCAAGTGCATATGCACCTACAGGGCCAATACGCTCACCAACCTCATTATAAGGCAAAAATCAGAAACGGATCTGAAAAACACTTGATCTTCTTTTTCAATTGTTTCTTGTCCTTCAGCCTGTTTAGAGTCCCAGAGGACTGAGATATCATTGAGAATGCTACCAGAGAGAGCAGACTTAAGATGGTCACAGAGAAAGATGAATTGAAAACATAAAAATGCAACTACAGAAAGAGATCATTTACCAGGTGAGAGATATTGAGAGTAGAGGAGGCCTGCTCTCAGGGGAGCCACAGAACAGAAAAGGATACAAAGGTTAAGAGAGGGAAATGGCCAGATGTAGGAACTGACATAAATCTAAACGATTGATGTACAGTGGATCTGCTTTAAAGATGTAGGTAACTTTAAGGGGCAATTTTTTTTTTCTTTTTCATTTTTCTTTATTAAGAAATTTTCTACTCACTCCACATACCACCCACAGACCCCCACCTCCTCCCTCCTCCCACCTCCCAGCCCTCTCTCCCAAGACACCCCACATCCCCACATCCCCCAAATCAAGGTCTCCCATGGGGAGTTGGTAGAGCCTGGCACACTGAGCCTAGGCAGGTCCAAGCCTTTTGAGGGGCATTTAGAGGGGGAAATAAGAGGAGATGAATAATTCTTCCAAATGCATCTGCTCTCATAGCTGGACGATCTATGGTCACTGAAAAAATAAATAATGCCAACAACCTCTTTTGGCAAAATTTTTATGGCTTCACAATCGAGAGATGGAATATTTTTAAAGTTGGTGAATGATTATTATCTGAAATAATAGTCATTATAGGAAAACAATGAGCATTGGTAAGGCTTTCTCATGCACTGCTTTGAGTGTGACAGTTCCTACCATGTCTTCAATGCCCTTTGGGGAACATTAAGATCCTTCCTTGAAGCCCAAGCAACTCATGTTGCCAAGATAAATAATCCATGTGAGGCTGTCTTCTGGTCCACAACAGA